GGGCGGCGGGGAAGGTGCACAGATGGGAACTAGGTTAATTTCATCCAGGTTCAACACTGATTTAAATCAAGTTACGCAACAATGTCAATATTTTTTTAAAAAACCTTTCGTATTTGTTTTGTTTCTCCCTTAAATAGCTTTCCTTGATCATCTGATCCTTTAAACCCAGTTCCAAGGGAGAGTAAACATCTTATTCTTTAGAGTTTTTAAAATTTGCACTGTTAGGTGGGGCAAAGGTCTTTTTGGTTTGTGTACCAGTGAATATCAACCAAGGTACTATATTTCTTAGGAAGAGAGAGATTCCACCTAAACATTCTAAGTCTTCTCTCGATACTAAATTACTTAGAGGAAAGCTTTCTGAAGAGGGGAGTGGTAGCATTATATGTGCATATGTGTGCGTGTGTGCGTAACGCTGTATAGATGATGAAGTTTTGCTCTATCTCCTTCACATTGTCGGTGTGCATATGTATGCATGTCATTAAAAATGTTATCCAGAGCTTACTTTAGTACACATTAAAAATTGACCTACATCTTAGACAAGGATATTCTTCATTTCTTAACCTGAACTTAAGAACTTCATTTCTTAACCAATGTTTAGCACATTTCACTGGTGTACATACGTGCACTCCATTGCTATTTGAGATGGTGTTTTAAATGTGCTCATGGGCCTGCATAGGCTTTCTCAGAGTACTGAGGGTTCATGTATAAACCTCCCTGAATTGAAAGTATCCTCCTTACCTCAACCAGTTCATATGTCTTCAAAAAGTAAACATTCGGGGCCCTTCCATTGGCTGTCAGCTTAAGACTGGATTTTTTATTTGTCAGGAATAGAACTCTGTAGAATGGCTTCTTGGTCCTTTCCTTGCCCCAAGCAGACTTTTGCAGGGAGGAGAGCATCCCTTAGCAGTTCGCTTTGCTTTCCTCCTTCCCAAAGCCTTCACCTTCCCCTCTTCATGCAATGCGTTCCCTGATCTCCCTCAGCCACAACCTCTCATACACTGACCCCACAAGTACTCCATTCCTTGCCACTCGGAGAGTTTTCATTCTCACATCTATTTTTTTAATTCTCTGTTTATATCTTCCTTTGTTTTTCTAAGAGAAACCAATCCAGCATCACATGAAAACTGTTTCTGATTTCCCATTGTTTCAAGTCTCACAGTCCAACTTTCCCGATACACTGGTTTACTGGGTATTCACCAACATAGGGTTGGTGGACACTATGGACGTCTGCAGTCCTTTCTCCGTGACTTTCAAAAATGTTTCCTCCGAGACTGGATGGGACCACTCTGAACTAGTAATCAAAGTGAGGCTGTTGTAGAAAAAGCCAAAAAAAAAAAAAAAATTGACAGAACCTACTTTCAGTCACATTTCTTGGAGCAAAGTAAGCGTCTCTGTCCAGGTGTCTTGTATGCCTGTCTGTCTGTCTGTCTGTCTGTCTATAAATGGACAAGTCAGTGGAACCTCTTCACTAAGCATTTAGAATACATCTTTTCTTGGACCTATAGCTGTTGTTTTGAAATGACATTCCATACATGCTGTCAGTACTCCAAATGATGGGATTAGATTTCTAAAATCTAAGCAAACAACAAGATGCATTTCATTCTGCCCTAATGCATTATCATTTTTTTCTTGATCAATTATAAAGGAGAAATAGTTCCTAAAACTTGCTGTGCATTAGAGAACGATTGTAAGGAACTTAACTGGAGCTGATAGGGTATCTTGTCCACATTTTAGGCATATATATAAGGTGAGAATGTTCTATTTAGTTCAGAACGTAACGCCATTTAATAGTGAGACTTGCTTTTGTTTGAGTGCACTTTGCAGACAATGCTGATGTCTGCTAAGCGCCTGAAGGCTGGAAAGGAGTCGACAGTACATGTGTATTATATGGGATCTTTTAAAAATGCAGAGTATTTCTTTAAGGTGAGAGTTTATGGCCATGTTACTCCCAACGTGATAAGCTAAACTTTACAGAGCAGTGCAGTCTTAAAATTTTAATAGTCTACTACTGCAAACTCCAGACGCATAACCCATTCTTATTCATTGCTCATTTCCTCTGTGTGCGACTTAAAGATAAAGTTCCACTAGCCCTTTAATGCTGGCACAGGTTGCCAGGCAGAAGGTTGAGTGCATGAAGCTAGGGGCCCCTGGCTTTGTGTCAGGCAAACCCCTGTGTATTATTTGTGGGGGGGAGACATTTGCTCCTGTGGGTTGAATTGTGCTTATCTGTCCTATCTGATTTAGGGTCATGAACGCTGGTGGTGTCGTGGTTGTTTATGAGTTGGCTGGCGATCCTCAAGGTCTGCAGTTCAAAACTACTAGTAGCTCCTGGGGATCTACTGCCTTAAACAGTTACGGTTTTGGAAAGTCACACAGGGGGTCGCTGTGAGTCCGTGCTGTTTCGAAGGCAGCGTGTTGTTGTTGTTGTTTATCCACTCACCAACACACTCATTAAATCATGTGTTGTTTATTAAATATGTAGAAGAAGGAGGGAGCCCTGGTGGAGTAATAGGTTGAGCATTGGGCTGTTAACTTCCAGGTTAGTAATCTGCGGCTCTGCAGGAGTAAGATGCGACTTTCTACTCCTGTAAAGATTTACAGTCTCAGAAACCGACGGGGGCAGTTCTAGTCTGCCCTATAGGGTCTCTTATGTGTCAGAATTGACTCCATAGCTGTTAAGTTCTCATTCCCCCACCCCCCACCTGGGGTTTGGTATAAGAAGAAGGTAGTTCTTACCCTCAAGAAATTTTGGTATAGAAAGTCTAATACAAGCATGAATAATGCATTGAAGAATCATGTTTATAATTTAAAATTAGGGTTCTCTTGCATTGCAGAAATACATTTAATCATTTCTTACTTAATTAATATATCAAGGCATACGTTTGTGGAGAGGGCCAGTTATAGGGTGTCACTGTCTGTGCCTTGGGGAATTGTTAGGGAACAGTAATCATAAACCTACACTTGAACTATGTACTTTTAAAGCATTTAACCAATAGGAACTCTTTTAATTCTTGTAACTACCCTATGTGGTAAATATCATGAATACCCGTGATGCATAGATATGACAACCAAAGTACGGAAACTTTTGGTCACTTCTCTAAAGTTGCTTACATAGTAAATACTACAGTTAAGCTGGAACCTCGGCTTTGGGGCTCCAGTGAGCTAGTATGGGGTTTGCCTGACCTCACCGCCATCGAGTGTGATCCGAGGACGTGTTCAGATGTTTATCTCAGCCAAAATGTAAAAGAATGACACTTGTCATTCCCAAATGTATTTTCAGTTCTATCTTCCTGCTAAAGGATGACATACTTATTACTATATGGCTGATGCTTGAAAAAGGCCAAATGTAGGAGCTGTCGTGTTTTTATCCCATGTGTTTGAAATGAAAAAGTAGCTCACTGTTGTCGTTGTTGTGGTTGGACGGTGCCCTTGAGTTGGTTGACTCATAGCAACCTTGGGTAGAACCGAAGGAAGCACTGCCTGGTCCTGCGCATCCTCACGCGTAGCGTGAGCTTTGAGCCCATTGCTGCAGCCAACTGTTCAGAGAGACTGGAGTGCTAAGAGGTGGGAACAGTTTTGTCAGAGTGCTGAGACGTTAATAATTAAGCCCCCATGTGAGCGCCAAGACATGTCTGCCTGAAGCTGATGATCTATCTGGTAAATTTGAGGGTTGAGAGAGAATGACTGGTTTTGTAAGATAAATTTTCCCCCTTTTTCCCCATTTCCGCCTATTAGGGACACTGGTTCTTATAACAAAAATTGTGAATGTACTCACATAACAGGTTTGCTATCCAATACATTTCTTAGAACAAATTTGCTTCATTAAGTGACAGAACTATAATGAAAGCATGAATCAAGTCACAGAGTATTGAGATTTTCATCAAGAAAGGTTTGTGTCATATTTGAAGCAAAGTTTCTTTCTAAATAGTCATCGCTTCTGTTTACTTGCAAAATACCATCTGGACTAAGTTTGAAAAATAAAATGATCACATTATCTAAAAGATGACATGCAGTCAAATATTTGGGTTCACTTTCATAATGGATTCCGTTTTAATTTTTTACACAGAGGTTAAGTCTCAGGCTCAGTCATGTTGTACAGATAATTTACAGCTGAATTGTATCTTAAAAATTCACTTTAAAGTTTGTTCATTAGAAGTTGTAACACATTTCCCCCATAGAAACAGCCCTATGACTGATGATTAGATCCCCAGACCAATCCACAGGACCTCC